CTCCCCTCCCCAGCTGTTCCGCTGCACCCCCACCCAGTGCCTTGCCTTAGCATGGCGGGGTCGTTCACGCTTCTTGTGGTTGCAGGTCTAAATGTATAACTCCTTGATGCCATTGTCTTATGTCCATGAACTTAGAGATTTCATCCCCAACCCTCGGTCCACCTCTACTACATATCTCTGCTTCAAGTTGCTCAGGTTTCTGGACCCCACTTGCCCCTACTCACCTGATGTGCTGCACACAGCTGTTTCCTGCGTTTCAAATATCCTGCACATGCTCTCCAATTGTACGAAAGGGCTTCCAGAAGCTTGTAGAAAAACTCCATAGTCTTTCAATTCCATTTTGCCATGAACATTTTGGAGCCCCCACTAATTGTCCCTCCGACAAGAAAAATCTTATTTCTTCACTTAGTGGACTCGTGTGCATTCTCCCCTCCTACGGGAGGCATTCCCTGATCTATCTATGCAGTACACTTTGCTGCCGGGTGCTGGGGCCTTTGGGTGCTCGCTTCCGATAGCCCATTCCTTACTTCTCATCACATTGTATTGTCATTGTCTTCCTGACGGTGTTGGCCAGCCTCCCATTTGCAGCACAGGTCACAATAGGAGCCAAACTTCTCCAAAGCCTAGTGTGCCACCTCTCTATGTGAACTAGCTTCAGCGTCTCTTCTCCCATCTCTGCTTCCTCTTTCCTTCAGCGTACATCTCCATTTGAGGCTGGTTTACCTTTTTTACACGCCCCCCCCCCTTCCGACCACTGGGCCTTGGTTCCTGCTGTGTCCACTCTCTGAAATCACCCGGTTCCTTCCATGCTTGTTGACCCCAATGGCTGTCACATCGAAATGGTGAGAAAAATGAAGCTGTCTCCATAATTCGTGCAAACATCTGCTCTTCAATTTCAAACTGCAGGAAATCAATAGCCAGATTGTATTGCAGAGAAGAGAGGACGTGTGGTTTCGTGGCCAGAGCTGAGGAAACTAGGAGGGTTTGGTCCAGTTCATGTTCGCATGACCTTCTTATCTACTTTGGTTTCATTTCTATAAGTTGAGAATAAAAAAAAAATCAATGTGTCAGGCCTACTGAGAAGTCCAAGGATAAATATTTCTAAGATTTTAAGATTTAAAATTTAAATCCCAAGGCGAAAATGTCACTCTGACCGTGGCATTTTAAAATAACTTTCCTCTTTTGTTGTTTTCTACAGTCAGACAAATATCCCGTTCAAGACACCGCACTCCCTAAAGGTAGGTAGCGTTAATCTAACTATTTGAACACTGAGCACTCCGATATCTTGAGCAACGCATTCGTCAAACAACATTTGTATTATTTAAAATCGTTAAACAGGAACACATCTATAATTTACTTCATGATTTATTACTTATCTCAGAAATGAATTTTCTAATTAAAACGTATTGTTTTGTAATATATGAATAAAATTTAAAATTTAATATTTAAATTAAATTTGTTTTAAATTTAAAAAAATATTGTGGTAAAAAATACATATGTGGAGGCTTTTTAAAAGGTGGTTGAAATATATATATTTATAGATTAAAAAACCGCCGTTTCTCCAGATTGTGTCCTGCTACCAGAAAGAATAAAGCCTGGGGTCTTAAAGGCTTTATTTTAAAACAAGCAGCCATCTAAGTAAGGCATCACCTAAGTCCATATGGAAGAAGCAAGCCAACCTGTGTGATCCAAGGATCGTAAATAATAAAATCCAAATCAAAGAAGGGAATGAGATCAGAACTTAAATTGTGAACACCCTGTTTGCAGAAGGCTATGGATGACAGTGGAAATCCCAAGTCCATTTTCAGAGTCCCCAGGTGGATTGAGCCTCTGTTGACTTCCCTCTGACCAGGGATGTGAATAATCTTGCTGTCATGCAGAGTACATTGGAAAGCGGGTTGTTGCAGATGCAGTTAACTTGAAATGTAGTATCTTATCATACAATCTCCCTTTTGGCTCATTGTAAATTTGCTCTAGGTTTTAATATTTTCTGCTTTATTTTGAAGTTTTTCTGTTTTTTTTTTTGTTATTGTTGTTACTGTTTTGTATGTTTTTCTGCATATGAAATTCAAGATAGGTAAATTATAGATAGTAACTGGATTAATATTTCTTGGGGGTATGGCTGGGGAGGTTGTGGGGAGATGGGAAGCTAATAACAACAAATATAAGAAAGAAGAAAATATTCTTTATAAATTGCCATTTCAACATTTTTTGTATGTATCATTCAGAAGCATAATTACTTTCATCGTGTATTTCCAAACGTTTCCATCATCCATGCTGTTTTGAATATGCTGATACAAGTGTAAAATGAAGACAGCCAATCCTCAGACTGTAAAAGAAGCCTAACTCGTTAGCTTTTCAAAAGAAAGGGATTTATGTGCTTTGGGAATGTGGTGGCTGTCTCTCCCTCACATGGCTCTGTCTACCACTGGGTTACTCTTTTCTCCAGAAGTTTTTCCCACCGCTGGGAAACATGCCTGCCAGTTCCTTCAACTTCTGCTCAACATGGCAGAGGAACAGGAAGTTTTCCTCCTTGCGCCTATAGCATGGTTTCCCCCAAAATTGTAATTCAGACAGCCTGGTTCTTATGCCCATTCCTGAATCAATTATTATCATCAGAGGATAGAGGACTTTGGTCCACATTGAACTTTTGACATTTGGTGGGGAAAGGATGAAGTCAGTAGTACCCGAGCCACTAGAAGAAGGGTCTATTACTAGACAAAAGGCAAAGGGTGCTTACCAGACCCTGTCCTCCCCAAAGCTACTAGGGATAACCAGAGAAAAGATAGCCAGACCTTATCCAGTGATTAGCGTATCGACTTTGACTCCGGGCAACCCCATGCCCGTCACAGTAGAACTGTGTCTCCTAGTGTTTTCAATTTCGGATAGGTCAGCAGGACTTTCTTCCAAGAGATTTTAGTGTAGACTTGAACCACTAACCTTTCAGTTCGTCCTTTGTCTATGATACTCTTCATTGCAGGGCACCATGCAAGGCTGTGCCACAGCATTGAAGCCGGGTTGCGGCCTGTCAGAGTTCTATGCTGGCAACCCCAAGTAAGGGGTAGGATGTTGAGCGGGGGGAGACGCAATCAGAGTTGATTAGCATCTGAGACGGTAGGCGCAGTGAGGACTCCTTTCCGGTCTCCAGGAAGCGCTAGACTTCCTCATTGACTCCTTGTCTCGGGCTCATCTGAGACATCCTTGTCATTGTATGTGAGAGAATCATCCTCATGATTCATATTCTGAAGGTAACTTTCTCATTAAAATGATTTTTAGGGAAAGAAAATCCCTGTGGATTAATAAATATAGAGACTACTATATAAGCTTAAAAGCAAATGCTACCTATTTAAGCACAAACGGGTGAACTGGATGGTATGCAGAGAGAGCTGCTGTATTTACTGGGAGTTAGTTCCTGGGTGGCACAAGCAGCACTCAACTCCGAGCTGAAAAACTGATGCTTGGAATCCAGCCAGCGTTCTTTTGGAAGCCAGGCCTGGTGCTCTGCTTCTGAAAGCCTTGGAATTCTGCCTATCAATTCTACTCTGCGATGTTTGGGGCCATTGTGCATCAAAATAGACTCAGTGGCAAGTACCCACGGGCTCCCCAAGTTGAATCGGACAGAGGAGAGCGGCTCCATTGGATTTCCAAGCTTGGAAATCTTTCTGGGAGCAGGCTCTGTTATCTTTCTACCTGGGAGCAGCTGGGAGGTTTGAACGCCCCCACTTGGAGTGGGCAGTTCAGCATGGTTAGCAGTTCACCCTGTGCTGTCAGGGTGCCCTACCACGCCAACACTTATAGTTAGTGAGGGGCTGTCCTTCAGGGTTGGGAGTCTCAACAGACTTAACAATGGCCGTGGGTTCCGTTTGGTTTGAATAGGATTTGGGCGGCCAACCACAAGATGCTTGTTCAAACCCACTACCTGAGCCGAGGGAAAAAGCTGGCACCCTCCCGGCCCGGGGAACCCAGTTCTATTACTCTGTACGACAGGGTAGCGAAGAGTCAGAATCGACTTGGCAAGTGAATTTGTTGGTTTGAGTTGTGCATGATTAGGTTTAATCGTTACCACGTGGTTTCGATTTTAAAGTCCTCAAAGTTCATATGATTAAGAGATTAAGCATATTTCACAAAATCTTTGCTAGACTACTAGAATATTACTAATTTATTCATAGAGAGTACAAAAGCCGCTTTGGAGTGGCTCTAAATAACACGGTTTTACCATAAATCAATTGTGGAAATCCAGTGAAGTTTCAATGAACAGCATGTGCATTTCAAATTGGAACACCGTCATATCTGTTTTCTCAGCAAGCAAAAGCCAGGCGACAAATGCTCAGCTTCAGCCTCAGCCAACCAACCTCTGGCTTGAGAGATTTCCAGGAGTGTGTTAGGCAGGTGATCCTGACAAAGGGCAGGCACGGAACTCACGACTGGGGTAAGAGTGGATTTTCTTTTGATCCCATGCTTTTTGATATCTCATAGACACTGCTGACTCACTCGGGGGTTCTGAAGGGAATGTGGTACGTCGCATTCAGAGAGAAAGTGTCTTTGGGAACAATAAAGCTGAGTCACAAGGATTTGGGGAAATTGGAGCCCTTATCCATTACTGGTGGTAACCAAAATGGTACATTTAGAAAACAGGATGGCAGCTGCTTAAAACACCACCACCACCACCATGACACAGAACTACCGTATGACCCAGACATTTCACTCCTAGTTTTGTGCCCCAAAGGCTTTAAAGCAGAGACTCAAAAAGAGAGTTGTGCGCCAAGGGTCTTATAGCACACAGTGTGTGTTTTCTTGATCCAGCGGTGTCTCTTTTTCTTGTAGCTGAGGAATGTCATACACTTGCTCTGAATGGCCCACCAAATTCTGATGAACAACATCAGGTAAGAATGATCATTTCACAACTACATTTTTATCCTTAGGGATGTGCTAATATCACTAGAAGTTTTTTTTAGGAATTATCTTAGGAGCTTGAAAAATAAAGAGGGCGGGAAGCAGGATTTCTGGATAATAAAGTAACTTTGATCTTCATGTACCTCAGTAATACTGCATATCAACAGAATGTGAATTACTTCTAGGAACCATGGTAGTTTTCACCATTATTTGAAATAAATTCAAATGTGCCTCCCAAGAATAGACAAGTCATATTAGTAGCAAAGGAGATTTGCTTTCTTTCACACGTAGTTGGTAGGCTGTGAATGGTTTTTTTTTTTTTAAGCCACAACAGGCTAACATTTCTACAATGTCTAATAACATTTCTACAATGTAATAACATTTCTACAATGTTGTGTAAAACATTATAAGATGCTATTTATATGAACTTTTTCAGATACCAGAAATCAAACATCAGCATAATTGTTCTTGTCTATTTTCAAAATATAAATGTTCTTATTATTTTTATTATTGGCTGATAGAAAAGAATGTGTTGTTTTTTTTAATTCACAGAACGTAGACAGAAAGCATTGCCTATCATTCCACTGTCCATGTTTTGATTTTTATCCTTCCAGATGTACATGTTTCTTGTGTCACTGTATGCTTGTTTATGGTCCATCCACTTTCACTGACTCGTGAACACAACTATACAGGAACTCACGTCTGCTAAAATATACTGAGAATGTTAAATATCCCACAAAGCGTCCCTTGCCTCAGAGTGCTGTCCCTTCCACATCACCAAGTTAATTTTTAACAAGACATCTAGTAAAACATTTAGTCTTACTTTAAGTAAACCTAAAACATCTAGTCTTACTTTAAATAAAACTAAAACATTTAGTCTTCCTTTAAGACTAAAGTAAGACATTCAGTCTTCCTTTAAGAACATCGGTCTATAATAAATCTTTAATAGTGGTATTGTTGGGTAGTTCAGAACACCCGTGTAACAAGACATAAAATGATGCCTTATTTATAAAATGATACATTTTAATCATGACACAGAGCTCTTGACAAGGGAGCTACTGTGAACGCTCCCTTGTAAAATCGCATAACCAGTAAGGAGACCTGGACTTTTGTGTAGACCACGTGTTCTTGGTCTTGCACTTCGCAACTCTGCATGTAGCCACGCCCCACCGGGGTACAGAACAAGAGTAACAGATTCTTACTCTCCAGTCCTGGGTAGACAGCAGTTTCTTTGAAATGACGAGCTGACTTCTGTACTCAGTGCATTTGAATTATCTGAATAAGCCTAAAATACTACGTTGTTTTCCCCTTTTCTTGAAATCCTTCATTTGTTTAACAAAGTTTTGCTCTTCACATTTCTGTGGTCCGATATCAACTCTCTTGAAGGAAAAGCACAGTATAGGGTTTGTTTACTTTGCTTTTAGGAATTTTCCGAAACCATTTTAGATTTGCGACAGACTATACCTTAGGACACCGTTTCAGTCGAGTGCTAGAATTGTGGTTATATCCAATAAAGACCACCCTAAAAGCTAGAAGGCAGTTTTTTAAAGGTAGGAGGAGCCTATTGGAGGTTTTAAAAATGTTCTGTTTCACAATGGAAATGTGTTACTTTCTCATAAAAAAATAACTGTAGCTAGTTGCTTCAGTTGGTCATTTTTTGTATCATCCATAAGATTCTTCTTAAATTGGCAGATATCCAGAGAGATTTATGAACAGCAAAAAAAAACTCACTGAGGGAAAAAACCGCTAAAAACAAAATGAAAAAGCTCACGCATCATTTTTTTATAGTTCAGACAAAAGCAAGCGAGAAATTTGCTATCTAGAATATTTAATATGTTTCCAGTACATTTTAAAATTTCAAAACAAATATCTACAGTACATGTCAAAAATTAATGTCAGCCCCCTTTTGACCCATTAAAAAATTGTATCCGTTAAAAAAAAAAAAGTGAAGGGGAAATACGCGTGTATTTAAGCCTCTGGTGAATCTCCTCTGAACAAGGACCAGGGTGTGGACAGTGTTGCTGTCCTGTGGAGTGCTTTGGAGAATGGATGATGACAGATGTGGTTAGGTTAAAATTTAACACCTTATCATTTGAGCTCCCTTCTGAGTATTTGAAAGTCCTTCTAGATGTTAAGATTTTCTGATTTCTTTTTGATTGAGGTTTTTCCCTATTTCGTTTTGTTATTGCTGTTGTCTTGGGTTTTTTTTTTTCTCCCTTTGGGGGTTTTGGTATGTTTTTCGGTACGTAAAATCCAGGCTGAGTGACTAGCTAGAGCCAATATTAAAGGTTTCTGGAGGGCACGGTGGGGGAGATGGGGTGCTAATAACAAGGAGTACAAGAAAGAAGAAAATGTTCTAAATTTGATTGTGAGAATGATCATACAACTCTTCTCAATATGACTGAACTACTGAATTGTCTGATCGATGGATTACATCCAAATAAAACTGTTTTAAAATAATAATAATGTCTGGTGTCTTAGATGTTCACAAAGTACCTTTTACTTTTGATGATTTAAAAATCAGCGTTCCAACTACTAGGGACATCCTCCTCCTACAATTTACTACATGTGGTATTAGTGTACACACACTCCGGATTGGGTATTGTTGAGTATAAAAAGGAGGAGCAACTGGAAGGCTGGGGTGTTGAGGAGCATGGTAGATGGATTAGGCCACCGGCAGAGCTTACAGAATTGTTGGAAAGGCATTGAACACTCGATTAGATTCTAGGGTGTGGGTATAAGTCATATGTAAATAATTTCTGTGAGATCAGGGAAAACATTTCCCAGCACTGTTATCAAGCAGTACAGTTTTAACTGTACGTACTAATATATGTAAATGACAGTAAAGCAAAATTTATTCAGTTCATTGTTAGGGGTGGGGGATGGTTCTGAAATAATAATAAAGATACAGAGAGTAATAAATATTAGAGTGCTAAGTTGGGATTCGAAGTGATGGAAAGACTGATGTTCATCTCTGTGTTGTTTATTGTTTTTGTTGTTAAGTTTTACATACCACATTGAATTATTGGTCCTTCGTTGTGACAAAGGTACTAATGCTCATAATAGGGGAAATGGGATAGGGGATACAGGAACTCTCTCTACTTTTTTCACAACTTTTTTGCAAATCTAAAACTGTTCTAAGGTTGAAAGTTTATTTTAAAAGCCACGCTAACTAATACTTAGAATCTAGATAGGTGAAGAAACTCTTCCCTAATCATGCTCCTGTAATACAAATATTTTTTGTCATTTCAACTTATTACTTTATACATTTTACTGTGTATCATTATAAAACCATTTCCTATAACTTTATATCTAATTTTTCTATTTAGCATCATGTCATACATATTTTCTTCAGTTGTTACACTGTCTTACGCTCTGTTGAATGGCTATGTGATATTATCACCTTTGACTTAAATATCGATTCTAGGATGTGTGTGTGAAGGAAATGATGAGAGCATCCCTGGTACAAGGAATGATGTGTGCACAGGCTCACAAGAGAACATCCATGGGATGATGTGTGCACTGGCTCACAGGAGAACATCCATGAGAAGGAGTGCACGTTGTCTAGAGAGGACACTCCATATGGGAGATGTTATGATTCTAAACAAGCTATGTTGAGGGCCCGTCATAGCTATATTTGAGTGCCTGAATGGATGGGTGAAAACTTAACAATAGATTGGGAGATGATGGCTGTTAAAAATAGAGAAATCAGGGAGGTGAGCAGCTATGCATCTGGTTAAGATTGAGTTTTGTTTGTTTGTGGCTTGGGAAAGAAGATATGACGAGCTGGTAGCATTTGGTGTGTGTGAGATTTGCAGTTGCAGTGAGACACGACATGGAAATGCCCAGTCAAAGACACAGCACTCGTTGTTGACTTAGGATTTGTTCACAAAGCGGTTAGAGTTGAAGCCCCAGGAGGGGGTGAAATTGTCCCGCAAAAAAGTTCTTGTGGAAAAGCAAAGAGAAGACTAAAGACTAGACCTCTGAAGAGTGCTTTGTTTCAGAAACTGGGGTGCGGGGGTGGGGGTAGAGTTCAGGAGCAGATGGACAAGTAGCCAGAGAAGAAGTCATCTGTCCGGGCAACTGCACTTTTCTTCATAGCGCGTGGTCCGTTCTAGAGTTATGTTGGCTGATTATTTCATTGTTGTCTTTTCCACTGCTTAGACTGCTCGGCGAGGGCAGAGGCTCATAATTGTCTATCCTCTTTCCCCAGGACATAGTAGGCATTCAATAAATGTTTATTGAATAAACAGAAAAAAGCCAGGCAAGGGCATTGTCTCTGATGCCAATGAAGGAATAGGCAGCATTGTCAGGAGGCTCAGGATAGCCAGGAGGAGGCTAACTGAGCCATTGTTAAATTTGTCCATTCAGATGTACCTGGGCCCCTTCAGGAAGAGAATTGGCCTGTGGACAAGAGGCGAATTGGGAGTGGTCAATGAGTGAGGGTGATGAGAAAGAGGATGCAAGTCTGCCAAGAAATTCCTGGAGGTAGCAAAGAGGAATATTAAATTGTTATTTGAGGAAGTTGAAAAAAGAAGAGAAGAAGCTCTTTATTTCTCAGATTGGAATAAAAGATTTTATAAGAATAATGAATCAGCAGGAATGTGGGAACATTAAAAAATAAGAGCTAAAGAGAGGCACGGGAGAGAGGTAGAATATTTAATGTAATTTGTTCTCCCCATAGGAAGTAGAACAGATTGATTTTAAAGTTTGTTGAGATGTTTGTTGAATACACAACACAGATTATGCTGAAGAACTTTGTAATCTAGTAGGGAAGAAAATAATAATATATATATATACACACAAACACACACACGTAAATAATGTACAAATAATTTGATATACAAAGCTCTCAAAAGCACAGATGTGCAGTTACCATGTTAAAAGTAAGAACTGTTTCAGAGTCAGGGCTGAAAGACTGGGGACCCATATTCAGGAAATGGGGTGGGGACCACGTTGGACCTCCTCTGGCTTCAACAGGGAGAAAGAG